TGTACATTAATATTGTCAAATGAACAAAACTGAGAATCTTTTAAAAATAATAACTTTAAAATTATTGAATATTATAAATTTCATAATTTTTTGCTAATTAAATTATTGAATATTATAAATTTGATTATTTTTTCTAATAATTTTGCTTTTGGTTGAAATCATTCTACAAATAATCAAGTATTCAATGTTAATTACAATAACAAATTCATATATTTTAAATAAAAATTTATTTTAGTCTCACTTAAATATTACTCAAAATTCTATTTATTAGTGCAAAAATTATATAGTAATATTTTCAAATAAACAAAACTGAGAATCTCTTAAAAATAATAACAACAATATAATTCCTGCACCGATCATGTCTCGGTTCGATGAATCATAAGAACCCACCGGCGTGACACGCCTGTGCAGATAGTACGTCACTCGGCCCCTATTTCAACACTTCACCGGCCGATCGGAAAAATTTTTCTATTTCACCCGGCGACGAATTGCGTTCATTGTGTGTACAGATACGTACGTGTTTATTCGCGAGATTGATATTCGTTTCCAAAAAAGTTCTGTTAAAATATTCTCTTCCAAAATTAACACTGTTTTTAAAAGTTTTTTATTAAAATTTATCAGCTAATTAGAATGTAATAAAAAGTTATGAATTAACGTTATAATAATTATTATAGTTATTTACAAATAAACAGTAATTTATATTAAAATGTATTGTATCAGTTAATTAGAATATAAAAAAAAATTATGAATTATGGTTATATTTATTATTATGGTTATTTACAAATAAACGGTATTTTTAGCAAATAATAATTTATTAAAATTTATTGTATTAGTCAATTAGAATATAAGAAAATGTTATGAATTAAGGTTATAATAATTATTATGGTTATTTACAAATAAACAGTAATTTATTAAAATTTATTAGGTCAGTTAATTGTTATCTAATCAGAACGTATACGTCTGAATTAAGGTTATAATTATTATAGTTATAATAATTCAATTATTTCAATAACCGAAAAAACCACCATTATTCGTAACCTAACCTAAAAATGGCGCAAAGAAAAAATAGTTCACCTTAATTTTTTAATATAAAGAAATAAAAACCTCATTATTTATGATAACCTCATAATGGTGTGGGGAACAAATAGTTCTTCTTAATTTTTTAATATAAAGATAGAAAACCCTCATTATTTGAAAGATAACCTAATAAAAATGTAAAGAACAAATAGTTCACCTTAATTTATGAATATAAATTATTTGCAAAATAATCTATTAAAGGTGTGAGGATTAGTTTACCTTAAATTTTTTAATATAAACGACGAAAACTCCCATTATTCGCAACCTAACCTAAAAAAGTCATGAAGAACAAATAGTTCTCCTTAATTTTTAATATAAAATAGAAAAGCCTCCATTATTCGCAACCTAATCTAAAAAGGGGTCGAAGACAAACACTACACCTTGAGTCTCAATTATTCGTAACCTAACCTAAAAAAGACGCACGAAGAACAAAATCGCAGCACTTACCTTGTCCTCCATTTTGGAGACAGCGCTGTCAACGACGTTCTCCGCCGTAGACTTCACGAGGGACGCAGCCTGCTCCTTCGCCGCCGACATGTGGCTGCGGAAGGAGGCCTGGATTTTCGACGCCGCCTCGCAGAGCTCTGTCAACAGCCAAAGGGAAAAAGTTGCCGTTAAGTTAATGCCGATAGACGCCGCCGGGGGTCGATACGTCGTCTCCGTGTCAAAGCGGCGAAACAGGACCGGGAATTCGAGGCTTCCGACAGCGAGCGTCTCGAAATGGAATTTCGTTTTGGGACGTTTTAGAGACATCTAGATACAGTGAATCCTGGATGAACTGTGGTGTGAGATTTTTTGGTGCCAGTGAATTGCTGAGATCGCGCTGATTAAAATGAGTACAAACACGATGGGAATCGGAGTGGTTTTAGGATTTTGTGGAAACAAGCCTTTAGGTTTGTTAATTATGTTAACTTGGGAAAAGTAGTCCGATTTACGTCGTGTTTGGACTCATTTTAATCGGGACAATCTCAGCAATCCACTGACATTACATTTAAGAAGGTAAGATTAAAATGATTGCAACTGAAATTTGTTTCATTGCATGTTTAACCTTACTCTCTCAATCATGGTACCAATAGAATGTTGAGATTCTCCTGATTAAAATGAGCCCAAACACGATAGGAATCGGATTAGTTTTACTAACTTAGTGTAAGTAGCGAAACTAAAGGCTCGTTTCCATCAAATCGTAAAACTAGTCCGATTTCCATCGTGTTGGTACTCATTTTAATCGGGAAAACCTCAGCAATCAATCGGTACTACGACTGAGAAGGTAATTTAAACCTGCCGTGAACAAAATATCAATTGCAATAATTTTAACTTTACAATATCCAATTGTAATAATTTTTCTCAATCTCTTTCAAAGTAACTCCATTATTCACTCTGATCTCTTTGTATTCGAATAAACAAATAATACTTTTATTTATTTACACAAACAACCCTGTATTAAATATAAAAAATCTCGCTATTACTTTATTCAAAAACGACAAACAAACCTGTCGAAAAAATCTTCGACTGCAAACAGTTCCAACTCTTTGTCCACGAACATAAATAAATAATCAGAGAAATTCAGAGTTCTGACGACTGACGTTCATAAATGAGTGAGCAATCCGAACGTGTCTGCGAGGGTGAAGCAATCTATTTGCCCGATCCCCCCGAACAGTGTCAACCGCATTAAAAAATCGGTGGTTGACCCAGTTCTGAATTGGGAATGAGTTCGGAATTCGGCACAGTGGGAACTCGCGTGACTTGCGGCTGATTTGCCGGGGAAACTCAGCTGGTTTGTATTTGCATAACCTAACCTATCGCGCTACAGCCCGAACTGCCGCGCAAGTCAAGATGAACTTCAGTTTCTTCGTACTTCGGGCTCCGATTCCACCGGAGCGTTAATTATTCGAGATACACTACTGGCCAAAAGTTTCGAGTCGGTAAGTGAATTATCGAGGAACACGGGATTTTGTTGGAGGAATTAGAGTAACGAAGGAAGGTTTATTTATTGAAAATTTGGAAGTAACATGGTTTAGAGTTTGTATTTTTTTGTTTTGTTTTGGAGGAACTACTCTGTCAGTAGTTTTTAATTGGCCAGAACAATTGTTCAATTTTTCAATTACTGTAGCTTTAACATTACCTTCTCAAATGTAGTGTTAATGAATTGCTCGGATTGTGCTGATTGAAATGAGCCCAAACACGATGGGAATCGGACTAGATTTACGGAATTGATATAATTAACGGAATTAAAGGCTAGTTTCCATGAAATTATAAAACTAGTACGATTTATGTTGTGTTTGGATTCATTTTAATCAGGAGAATCTGAACATCCTGCTGCTTTATGACTGAAAAGGTAAAGTTAAACATGCAATGAAGAAAATTTCATTTGCAGCAATTTTATCGATATCTTTTCAAATGTAGTGCCAGTCAATTGTTGAGATTGTGCTGTTTGAAATGAGCCCAAACACGATAGGAATCCGACTACTATTACCAATTTAATGCAATTAACACAATCAAAGGTGTGTTTCCATGAAACCGATAAAACTAACCGATTCGTATCGTGTTTGGGCTCATTTTAATCACAGGAATCTCAGCAACCCGTCGGTACTACGATTGAGAACGTAACGTTAAAATTATTGCAATTGAAATTTCCTTCATTGTGTTTATAAAAATGAATATCCCATTTATGTTTTGTATACTAACATTGAAACGTATTAATGTTGAAAACTATAGACATTTTATTTTTGTTTAATAATAAAATCTTCGCATAGATATTTTAAAAAATTGTGTTTATTAGATATTTAATTCCTATCTGTATTATATATTACCAATTATATATATATATAATATTATTATAATGTTATATATAGATGAAATAATATTTGATAAATAATAATACATATAATATTATATACTTCC